GTGAATTTCGCAAGACAAAAATGGCGACCATTTTGAAATAAGACGAGCTTTTGAACCAGGAGTCATAGGTGAGTTTTCTGTATTGATGTTGAACAAAGATAACTTAAAACAGGAATCCTATCGACAGAGGTTTTAAGACAAATGGTCCAAAAGTGGATTTCTTGAGACATATGGACAAATCAATGTTAACTAAAATGGCTGAAAATAAAAAAAACGAATATAAATTTTTGCCGATTTTTTGTAACAAAATTATTTCATACAACTACTCTTTACAGTGACATGGGTTTTTACAATGCAGGACACCTGAAATTATTTGTAAAGCTAGAAAATGGGCAAAAGGTGAATTCTGCGAGGCAAAAATGGCGACCATTTTGAAAATAGGCGAGCTTTTGAACCATGAGTCATAGAGGAGTTTTCCACATTGATGTTGAACAAAAATAACTTAAAACGGGAATCCTATTGACAGAGGTTTTAAGGCAAATGGTCCCAAAGTGGATTTCGCGAAATAATGGACAAATCAATGTTAACTAAAATGGCTGAAAATAAAAAAGCGGATAACATCTTTTGCCGATTTTTTGTTACAAAATGATTTCAAACAACTACTCTTTACAGTGAAATGGGTTTTTACAATGCAGGACACCTGAAATTATTTGTAAAGCTAGAAAATGGGCCAAAAGTGAATTCTGCGAGACAAAAATGGCGACCATTTTTAAAATAGGCGAGCTTTTGAACCAGGAGTCATAGAGGAGTTTTCTACATTGATGTTGAACAAAAATAATTAAAACGGGAATCCTATTGACAGAGGTTTTAAGGCAAATGGTCCAAAAGTGGATTTCGTGAAATAGATGGACAAATCAATGTTAACTAAAATGGCTGAAAATAAAAAAGCGGATAACATCTTTTGCCAATTTTTTGTTACAAAATTATTTCAAACAACTACTCTTTACAGTGACATGGCTTTTTACAATGCAGGACATCTGAATTTATTTTTAAAGCTAGGAAATTGGCCAAAAGTGAATTCTGCGAGACAAAAATGGCGACCATTTTGAAAATAGGCGAGCTTTTGAACCAGGAGTCACAGAGGAATTTTCTACATTGATGTTGAACTGGTATTAACTTAAGATTAAAAAGTATCACTATCTCTTTCATTTTTCAACAAATATAGGCTCACGTGACATATGACGCGGGGCAGGCAATTTTGATCTATCGTAGACCATATCAGTATCAAACTGCCGATATTTCAACCTCATCTTGCGAGGCCATTTTTATTTGAAACATCTTGAATTTGGTGTCAAAATAAAGCTGGTCACGCCCACTTTCATAGTTATCAATGAATCATTTACTACGACTACTATATTCATTTAGGAGGCGTGTAAAGTTAACCAATCAGAAAGACAATTTGCCCCATATATGGTTGTTCATTAACATATTCAGTGTTTACTATTGTTTTTCGCGTCATGACAACACGAGTAATAACCAATCAAAATGCCGTATTTTATCACGCGAGTTCAGAGTGACATGCACGACATGTAGGCTGAGCTGATCGCGATGTTGAACAATTTCTTCTCGGAATTTGTCCAGAGAAATCAGCGATTCTAAATTAAGGTAGGATCTGCCATTTCTTCATAGTACTTGTCTCAAGTCCCCACATCTGCTCTTTTACTGGCATACTTGGACATATTTCCCCTCCTTAAATTGTCCTAAGTCAAATAACACCCTCTCGCCGATTTATATAGATATTTCCCAGAACCCGGGAATCAGAATCGCTGATGTTTGCCATATTGAACATGTTGAAATATGTACTGTAATATCTGTAATACTAGGCATTGCCTGCTACGCGTAATGGTCACGTGACTAGCGCGATACAGGAAAAATGGGGAATTTCGAAACAACAATTTTTGGGCACTTTTATTGCAAATTTCAGGTATTTATAAGTGTTTGTGGTAGAAAATATAATCCACAGACATAAATGAACATCCAAACTACACTCCCCTCCATAAGTTTGGCAACCTTTTTTCTCCATTGAACTACGTGTTAAAGCCTCTTTACGTTTGAATTTTTATTTACATAACCGGCGATGAAATAACTTATAATATCGATGGAAACGTAACTTGACTTTATTTCCAATACCTCCAAATTTTCTCAATTTTTTCCCTCAATTACAATAGGTCGAAAATTGATGATAAATTTGATGAATTTTTGAAAATCGTCATTCCCATGTAATCCAATGGGAAATGGAGGGTTCGGGGCAAATCAGAAATCAGGATATCTTTTCAGTAAAAGATTCAGCAAAAAATATTTTTATATAGAAAATTGAATTGTCTAACTTTTTTGAACACCAAGTGTTTAGTTTATTTGATGAATATTAAAGTTATAGCGCTTCAAAGTCATTTTTGAAAAGAATTTTTCGCCTCCTGTGTTATTTCAATGGGAGAGGTTTTTTGAAAAACAATTTTGACTTTAAAGCCCTATAACTTTGTTGAACCTGAAGAAACATATCAATTTTTTATTAAATAAAGTTAGCAAATTCAATTACCTGCCTAACTCGAATTTTTTGCAAGGACTCGGATGGATGGATATTCTGTCATATGACTTGCGGCAAACCTACCATTTCCCATTGGTTAACATGGGAATGTCGATTTTCAAAAATTCATCAAATTCATCATCAATTTTCGACCTACTGTAATTGAGGAAAAAAATTAAGAAAATTTGGAGGTACTGGAATTAAAGTCAAATTACGTTTCCATAAATAGTATAAGTATTTTCATCGCAGGTTAAGTAAATAAAAATTCAAAGGTAAAGAGGCTTTAACACGTAGTTCAATGGGGGAAAAAAGGTTGCCAAACTTATGGAGGGGAGTGTACGTATTTTATTAAGTTTGAGCCTTTTTTGCACTTAAATTAACATCTTTAAAACGAGAATCCTATTGACAGAGGTTTTAAGGTAAATGGTTTAAAAGTGGATTTCGCGAGATAGATGGACAAATCAATGTTAACTAGCACCCCAGGCACATTTCCTACGGCGACCTTGCGGTCTATCATTTTTGCGTCCAGTAGCTTTTCTACGCTCGCCGCAGAATTTTGCGCTCTCATACTTTTGCAGTCACATTTCCCACGGCAGCCGCACGGTGAATTTTAAATTTCTGTGTTGATAAATAATACTTTCTTCATTTTATTTACATCAGGACAATTTATAAATGTTATTCATAGTGCTAGGATGTAGTATCAAATGAAAAGTGATCGCAAAACATTGATAAATAATGATTCAATCTTGTTGAGCCCGTTGATTTCTACGGGGACCTCAGAAATGAACAAATATTATAAGTCCGAGTTATTATAATTTCTACGCCTTCCCTGCGGCCTGTAAAAATCTGCATTCGCCGTACGGAGGCCGCAAGGCGAGCGTGGTTTTTCTACGCTCGCCGCAGAAATTCACCGATTTAATTGATCTGCGGTCGACTTGCGGCCGCCGTGCGACTAATGTGACCTGGGTGTTAAATGGCTGAAAAAAACGGATAACATTTTTGCCGATTTTTAGTAACAAAATTATTTCATACAACTACTCTTTACAGTGACATGGCTTTTGACAATGCAGGACACCTGAAATTATTTGTAAGGCTAGAAAATGGGCCAAAAGTGAATTCTGCGAGACAAAAATGGCGACCATTTTGAAAATAGGCGAGCTTTTGAACCAGGAATCACAGAGGAATTTTCTAAATTGATGTTGAACAAAAATAACTTAAAACGAGAATCCTATTGACAGAGGTTTTAAGGAAAATGGTTCAAAAGTGGATTTCGCGAAATAGATGGACAAATCAATGTTAACTAAAACGGCTAAAAATAAAAAAAAAACGAATGTTGTAACATTTTTGCCAATTTTTTGTAACAAACTTATTTCATACAACTACTCTTTAAAGTGACATGGCTTTTTACAATGCAGGACACCTGAAATTATTTGTAAAACTAGGAGATGGGCCAAAAGTGAGAACTTGTGTATGATATAAGGAATGTGCATTATACAATAAAATGTCACCTTTCAAACTTTATGAAGTTATGTTAAAATCTTTGGGGTAAGCCTAAAAATAAAATGCACAAATATGTCATACTATTTTCGGTGAATAAACCTTTTACACTTTCAATGATTCAGCAAGGTGTATTTATGACGTGCACGGACCAATTCGGGAAATACGGGCTAATCTCAGTTTTAAGCGTTAATCTCTGCCTTATTAAAAAGCTAACTATTTATTTTATATATCATTTTGAAGTATTTTTTATTCGCACATCTGTGAAATTATTTTTCCTTGAAAAGTTTGATGGGATCTACCATATTTTTAAAGTTAAAAATATCCCGACATCGTCAAATACGCTGAAAGACGTAGCACATACGTTTACACGGTTCGCAAAAATTGGGAGAACTTGAAATAATGATCAAAATCCCACTAAAAGGACCACGAGTTGTTTGTAGGATGAATCTGGGGAGCTTTTTCATGCATTTCGCTTGTGTTTTTCATCTATAAGACATCAATACACTTTAAAACATTTTATTTACTATAAGATTGCACAATATAATCCTAAAAAATATTTCTCATTTTCAAGGATTATCTATAGATTAATTAACACCCTGTATTGTTATTTTTCAAACTTCAGAGGGCTTGGAATCATTATTACGATCGCTTTTGAATAATATTAATGCTGTTTTAAATAGGTTTCATGTATGCCAATACTTTCTCAAATTGTGTAAATGATACCCCTTCCTTAATCCCAATAATTTTCTCTTTGGGGAATTTCCCATAGTGATCCAATGGTATACTTCCAAGCAGATTTTGAGATAACAGGAAAGTTAATCATTAATACACACCTTATTGGGTTCTTTTGGTTTATATCACATGCCAATGAGGTGTGTATTAATGATAATATATTGATGCACATATAAATTGTCCATGTGAACTCAGTAACGTGGTCTTACTGAAATAAATATCTTTGGTGAATATTCCAACTTACCTTTGCAGATTCCCACTGCAAGAACAAGTAGAATCAGCGACCGCATGGTTATCTGTCAACCTTCAACTAAACACCTCTATAGAAAATTATTTCACAATATTTGGAAAACAACTCATATATTATATCATCCCGTCAAAGTGATACACCGTTGTTCATATATTTGGAATCTTTATCCACAATTTGGTGATATTTTTTATTTTACATTGAGATGCCGCTTAAGATTACTATGTACAGTACTTTGCTCCTGGTAGCTATATTTCGCGCTTTTCGCGAGTTTTGGAAAAATAGTAGCCGCGGAATTTCAATAGTTTTAATTTGTAAAATATAATAGACGGGAAACTCCCGAGAATCCATTTCAACCAATGTTGACGATATTTTCGTCCAATGCTGGGCGATAAAAGATAAGAAGGAATAGTTTCCTTAAATTTATTTCGGGTTCTAAAAATTTTTAATCAAAGACAAGAAATATAAAATAAAAAAAACTAAATATGATAGCGTCAGATATAAGTTTGAGTACAACAACTAAAGAAATCGATCAAAATGTATATTTGAGATCCGTCACATCTTGGAATGGTTAGCCTTGATACACTTTCAACAAACCGGATCAATTTTGCGAAATACGGGTCCACTCCTCAACAATGCATTGAGTCAAACACTGAAAATAGATGTGAGGAACAGTGTAAAATGTGTCATTTGATTTATTTTGTTATTTGTTTGTTTAATTCATTCAAATCCAAGGTAAACACATTTTATTGCACGTTACAGGGTAATTATTTTTAAAAGTTACCATGATATTTGGATGAACATAAGGTTCTTAGAAAAGTTAAAACGTGTCATTTTTTATGTATTTCATTTTCGCAGTTTTAAAATCTACTTTTTCTTACCACTTACGACTCGTATTTTTGCCACAGCTGTTTTTATCTGATTGTAATCTTAATTTCCAGTAAACAATATCTACCAGTTATTCGGTTAGATAGGATTTTTTTACGAATCATGTTTGGAACCTTACTGTTGTAGAATATTGTACATTTACATTCAAGATGATTTCTTAATGTTCTAAAATTACTTATTAAGCCGTGTACACCAGAGTGTCACACAATCAACTGAACAATTGATGTCTACAATTTCTAGATTCGCATACTAGTATATATGTTTTTTTTTTGTTTTTTTTTAATTTTTATATTTCCTTTATATATGTCATAACAAATCTACAGTTCATATGTCTCTGGAGCAATTGATTTTCTACAAGTAGTGTGGCAAAAGTTCCAAATCCATCTCACTGGTTACTACTTAGAACGAGAAGGTATCATCATAGAACAGTCGTAAATATAAACCGCCCAACTCATTGTTTGCATCCTACGTCGTTAATAACATTTTCAAAAGATATGAACATCATAATATAAAGGTTAATCATAGACACACAAAAGTACTACCAACTTTCATAAAAACTGGGGATCAACTGGAAACGAAGACAATTTGTCAGTCTTTCTCTTGTTTGTGTTTATGGCAATCCTGATCTGTCCATTTTGCAATTTCTTTGAGAACCCAGTCATGTAGCCACCGGTACCGTCCTTCTCCAAGAGCATTTGAACATCCACTGAGTGTGTTGTTCAGTTTGCAGTTGGTAGCATTACACAGAGGGCAATTCGCTATTTCCTCCGTGCCCCATATTCTGTTGTTGGTGGAATTTGGTCATAAGTCTGAAAATGCTCTCAGCAAATAATTGAGTCTTCCCTGGTCCGCAAATCATTCCACGTCACTCCACTTCACTTTTCATGGCGAGACAGCAGAGACTCGCTATAAACATCCCGTAGGGTTCTGTCATAGTATTTACCGAGGCACTTGTACTTGTAATGTTGAAATCTTCTCACTTTGGAACCTGAATTTGGTTGGAGAAAGTTAGTACCAGCCGTATTGACTTGGCCGGTTTAAAGTGCATCCGAGCCCATTTCGCCATTCTTCTCAAAGCGGAAAGAACCCATCTGTAATCTATATACTATATGGAATGTTTTCTGCTTCATTATTCGTATTTTACAATAGGTATTGTTAAATGAAGCTAGTTGGTCAATTATTGAATTTGTCAGAATATGTCAAGGGACATATTTTAGCATCTTTCTTGGGTTAGATAATGTCATCCATCTTATTCAAAAAGACACTGATGAGAAAACTTAATAGTTAAATCATTCAGCAATAAACGACTAGACAACAAATATATTGAGTACCATAAATACCACATTACATTCACAATTGAGGTGAAGTTTAAAAAATTGTTTTGTGAAATGCATGAGTCATTTTACTGGCGATGTTTATGAGACATTGCAGAAATCCGATTTTTGCAATTATTTCAACACTAAGTATTACTTTGTAGTTGGGAAACAGGTGACGAAATTAATGTAATTTACAATAAAAAACACGTGTAAAAGTTCTGCAGCAAGTTTATTCTTTACCAAAGTTTGAATTTTAAATTTTCCAAATGGCATATTTAATTTCTTTGTCAAAATCAGAATGTCCATTGTCTTATCATTGTTCTTTATCAGCATTGCCACGAACAGTAGCATTTGCAAATTCGTTCACTTTGAATTCATCAAGCAATTTTCGGAATTGATCTTTGAATATGTGTTTAATTTTCCAGCAGTATCTGTCCGCTTTGAATAGAGGGATAGAAACGTCCTGCCAGATTAGTGTCCCAGTCTCATTAGCTCCGTCACTTGGCTTGAAAACAGCATTCAATCCAATAGAAGCTTAAATACAAATCATAAATGCATCTGCACAAAATGATATGTTATTTAACAAAATATATGCAATCATAGATCCCAATCGTTTTATGATTATCAAGCCATACATCTTTAACATGACAGTTTACTCAAAAATATTTGGTTCGAACAAGACTGAATCGAAGCAGGATAAAAAGGTAATCGCTGTTTTCGAAATTATAATCAAATTCAACTCTTTCAATAAAGCAACTATGCCTACAATTCTATCTATAAATTGTTTCTCTCTTATAGATAGAGTCTATTTAAAACAATCATCTCTTAATTGTTTCAGTTTTTCAAATATCGATGTCCTACCCATTATGCCAGTAGCAGAGTTCGATAGACCAGACAGTTCAGTTATATCAAAGCTCATAAACCTCTCGTGTCTCCATACATCAATAAATTTTCCATCACCAAGTACCACCTTCAAATCTGTATTACTGTCGAATACAACCATTCCAAGACCATTGTCAAATTTCAGTTCACCGAATTTCCATTTTTGTTTCGTCACCTTTCCATTATCATCAACACGGACATAATAAGGATCAATTCTTATTACAACACGTCCTTTGGTTATTTGAATACTCCCAACATATTTTGCAAGTTCCCCATCAAGTGCAATAGCACTTATCAATGTGGAACGAACATCTGAAGTGCATAAACGAGTCTTGATAAAGACGAATACCAATATATACGCATCCAAGAAATCCAAGGAAACGTTTATGTTATGTTACATAAGTATGCAAAGAGGGGATACAACAACTTGAAAAGTTAGAAAACTCAGCAATCAAATAAACTATAATTTTCGCCAAACATATTTGTTTGTGGTAAAATCTGGTTTGAAAAATCACGATTAATTGTACTTATCGTACCCAAATCATCATCATGGAGGTACAAATATGTCGAATCAGGAGCACCATAGATGTTGTAGCAGAATCTACGTTCAGTCCCTCGGATCGTCTGTTTAATATGAGGATCTCCACAAACCATGATCTCATCGTCGTTTTCATTACATTTTGGTTTTGGGCGTTTGCAATCTTCGTTATTTCTACATTCATGGCACTTACAGTCAGATTTGCAGTGTATGCGTTCAGGAAAGTTTGCGTCAAATGGGCAATGGCTATCTTTTAGGCACTCGAACTCTTCCAAAGTCATTTCTTCAAATGAATGATAAGCAATGTCAGAACAGCAGAAGTATTGAAAAAGACAAATCATAGAAATGCAAAATGGTTAATGTTTATAAAAGGTATATTAGATAAAATAAATGGACAAATGGCGCTTGTACAAACAAATAAAGAATAAAAATAAAATAAAAAGGATAAAGATACCTTTTTCAATCTTCTTTAGCATTAATTTTTCTTCGATTTCCATTCTTTGCAATCCCTCAATTTTGTCCTCAATGGTCTTCATAATGTCCGCTGGCAAATCTTTGTTGCTATCACGAATGCTTTCAACATTTTTGAGCATTTCAGCAGTTGCGTGGATCTTCTTTTGTGCCTCCTCCCATTTATCTCTTAACTCAGTACACGCTCCAGTGAACAAACTTTTTATCCATTTATAGAAAGCTTTCAAATATTCCACAAAACGTATCAACAGCTTTTCTATTCCATCAAGTAGATCATTTAATTCTTCCAAAGTTTCATTGGCTACACCTATGGCTCCTTTGATTGCCGCTCTTTCAGAAGCACTAAATGGCAGCTTGCTCTCAATGAAGCTTTGATATAGATATTCCTCTATACCTACAAAGTTGGATTTATCATATGAATACGATATTTTATTAGGATTTGTTTTAGATTCGAATAATGAACTAGCTAATGAACAACGGATATTGTTGGTGTATAGTAGTGATACAAGTGAACTAATGAACAAACTATAATATTTTGATATTAGGTTAAAACATGACTTGTAATGAAGCTTTAATGTCCTGTTTTTAAAAAAACCTATTCTAACTTTCGAAAATGGATTCTAGCAGTACTATTCAACAGGAATCTACTTGTTGAGATTCGACCAACTTGAGTTCTTCTGAGGAAATGAGGATCATGGTGACATACCTGATGGTATCCCTACGCTAAGTCAATGGTAAATGGTGTATGTCCTCGTGTTGAGTCAATGCACCCTTGCTAAAATCCTCATTTTCTCAAAAGAACTCAAGTTTATCGAGTCTCAACAAGTAGATTCATGGTGGATAGTAATGCTTGAATGCATTTTCAAAAGTAAGAATATGGTTCTTAAACAGGACATTGGGCTTGCTTTTCGGAACTTTTTGTTGGTACTAGACAGCTTAAGACTGAATCAGAGTAACGAAGCCACATGCGGAAATAGTGCAGTCAGTTATGACAATAAAACCCTTGAATTGCACTTGCTATATATACAGCACCATTTTTTGACCAAAGTATCATTATAACATATATGTATGAAATCAACCGAAGTGGTGTCAAACAGTGGCCCCAGTGGATAATAACAGGCTTCGAGAATTTTGCATGTTTCCATTGGGCCCCATGTTAATTCGTCAATCTTCAAAAGACCCCCTGCAGAACAGTTCAAGAGCAATAAAGTCAATCTTCCTAGTATGTAACCATGACTCAAATGTCTTCAAAATAAGAAGGGTTACAAGCTAGATTTTGTCTAGTTCAAAAGATATTGGTGTTTGAATTTTGGAAAATTCCCATTAACTGCCATTATAAACTACTCTCAATATGGCTTTACTAAAGGGTCATTTTCTCCAAAAGTCCACTATGGAATTTTCTGATGTTGCAGATTTCTACAGCCAATATATTGACTTTCAAAAAACTAAACAGGCACGTTTCTAAAAATTTCTTATTTTTAATATATCTAGTTGTTAAGTTGCTCACGAAAACTCCATTGAGTCCCATGTTAATTTATCAATCTTCAAAAGACCCCCTGCAGAACAGTTCAAGAGCAATAAAGTCAATCTTACCGGTATGTAACCATAACGTGGATGTCTTCAAAATGAGAAGGGTTACAAGCTGGATTGTATCTAGTTCAAAAGATATTGACGATTAAATTTTGGGAAATCCCCATTGACCGCCATTATAAACTACTATCAATATGGCTTTACCAAAGTGCCATTTTCTCCAAAAGTCCACCATGGAATTTTCTGATATTGCAGATTTCTATAGTTGATATATGTACTTTTTAAAAACCAAACAGGCACATTCCTAAAAATTTCTTGTTCTTAATATATTTAGCCATAAGTCACATACATAAATCCCCATTGACTGCCATTATAAACTGATATCAATATGCTTTTACTAAAGTGTCCTTTCTCCAAAAGGTCCAATATGAATTTCTCTGATATTGCAGATTTCCTATTTCTATAAATCAGAAAATTTTATAGTGGACTTTTGGAGAAAAGTATACTTTATTCTTAAATCCATGTTTATAGCAGTTTATAATGGCAGCCAATGGGGATTTTCGGTCAACTTGAGGGCTAAATATATTAAGAATAAGACAGTTTTAGAATTGTGCCTGTTTGGTTTTTTAGAAGTCAATATATTGGCTATAGAAATCTTCAATATCAGAAAATTACATCGTGAACTTTTGTAGAAAATGGCACTTAATGCCTGGGTCACATAGGCGCCGGGCGCCGGTCGATGAGTAGTCATCGGCCGATTTCTAAATCGACCGGGCGCCGGCGACTTTTCAGCGATGTCTTGATCTAATCGTGAGTATGGTCACATTAGTAAAGGCATCGTACGGCGCCCGCAATCAATTGAATCTGAAAGACATCGCACGGGTATCGCAAGGCTATCTGTCGATGGCCGTACGGCACCCGCCAGGACATCGGTCGATCTACAGGCCTCTAGATTTATACTTAATTCTTGTATGACCCAGTATGACTGTTCCACATGGCGTGAATGCAAGATTCGAAAACGAAATACTTCGATAGACAGGACTTCCAGGTTAATAATGTTTTCATGCAATAAAAATCAGAAAAAGAAGATCCTCTTTTCGGGTAAATAGGTTCAATATTTAGAAAAAAATGCTGACATGGGGTCCCTATTCATAATTTGTCAAATTGTTTGATTGATATTTTTACTATCATTGGTACACCAATTGAAATAACAAATTGTTTTAATAAAAACACTGTATTTATGCCCAGAAAGTACTCATAGTGAAAGTTATGACCGTCTAAAATCACTTGCCATACTGCACGTGGTCTTTTCATATCAAAGTGCACCCTGACCTTAATTCATTTTTAGATCTTTCATATTTAACAAATACTATGTCTACCTATATATGGCCCATTAATCCCCTCTATCCTTAGCCTTTGGCATATTAACTGTATTGAGACAGTGAACTTCGTATTAAAACTGTGACCCTTCAAATACTACTCACAAAATCAGTCAGAAGATTTTTAAAATAAATGATTTGTAATGGTATATGCATGAGTGAATATACGTGATTAATGTCAATATAAGAAAGACTAAATCAACCCACCCATTTAGCCATTCAGATGTGTGTCATTGTTTTACAGTAAGCCTAATCGTTCCATTTATGTTTTATAAAAAATCTCTGACAGTATGTAGTAATTATGATTCCTTACCTCATTATTTTTAGAACCCTTTTATCACTTTATAAGTAATCATTATTAAGATTTATCAAACAAATCAGCACGCAAAATCCCAAGATGATCGTGCGATGCCACCGGGCGCCGTAAGATAATCGTACGATGACCGGACGGGACACGGCCGGGTAGGTACCGATGAGTTTGCTTGAGAAAAAATCGCCAAGACATCGGCAACTTTTATCTCCGAGATAAAACTCTGCCGGCGCCCGTACGATGTCTAAAAATCGGCCGATGAGTGGCGATCATCGCCCGGCGCCCGTACGATGCCCGGGCTCGCCGGCCGATTTTGAACAAAATACTCATCGGCCGGGCGCCGTAGTGAAAATCGGAGCCTATGTGACCAAGGCATTAGTAAAGCAATATTGATAGAAGTTCATAATGGCGGTCAATGGGAATTTTCCAAAATTCAAACACCAATATCTTTGGAACTATACAGAATCAAGCTTGTAACCCTTCGTATTTTGAAGACAAGCAAGATATGTTTACATACCAAGAAGATTGACTTTCTTGCTCTTGAACTGTTCTGCAGGGGGTCTTTTGAATATTGATAAATTAACATGGGACTCAATGGAGTTTTCGTGAGCAACTTGATAAGTAGATATATCAAAAATAAGAAATTTTTAGAAATGTGCCTGTTTTGTTTTTGGAAAGTCATTATGTTGGGTATAGAAATCTGCAATTTCAGAGACTTCCATGGTGAACTTTTGGAGAAAATTGCACTTTATTAGTAAAGCCGTGTTGATAGCTTTTATAATGGCAGCCAATGGGAGTTTTCGTGTGCAATTCAATGGCTAGATATCTAAAAATAATGAATTTTTAGAAATGTGCCTGTTTGGTTTTTTAAAAGTTAATATATTGGCTATAGAAATCTACAATATCAAAAGATTCCATAGTGGAATTTTGGAAAAAATGACACTTTAATTAATAAGGCCATGTTGAGAGTAGTTTATAATGGCCATCAATGGGAATTATCCAAAATTCAAACACCAATATCTTTGGAACTAGACAAAATCCAGCTTGTAACCCCTCTTATTTTGAAGACATTTAAGTCACAGTTACATACTAGGAAGATTGACTTTATTGTTCTTGAACTCCTATGCAGGGGGTCTTTTGAAGATTGATAAATTAACATTAAACTCAATGGAAACGTGCAAAATTTTCGAGCTCTGTTATTATCCCCTGGGGCTACTTTTTAACACCACTTCGGTAGATATCAAAAATACATGTATTAATGATACTTTGGTCAAAAATGGTGACGTATATATAGCAAGTGCAATTAAAGTGCTAACTGACTGCAATAAAATCTAACATGATAGTTCTCATTAGTCAGTCCCAATCGTATCCATTGAGCTTTAAACGCATACATGTTAAAATAGGAAGAAATGATATGTTGTAGCTACCAAGTATTTGATAACAACCAGCACCTTAGATTAATTCTCATTAAAATTAGCGAGATATTCAGAAATGAGAAACCTTGCGTAGATGTAATAAGTGAATGTAACAGGAATTGATGTCAATAATTGTGATCCCCATATACAGGGTGGGCCAAAAAACGCCACTTTTTTTTTCAAAATGCTATAACTTTTGTAATTTTTGATACAAAATCATAATGTGCATACCAAATGAAACTTGAGGTTGTTATCTAGCCATAGAACACTTTTACTTGAATAAAATATGTCACCAGCGTCTCACTTAAACATGTGGTGTGTCATGAGAAATAAACAAAATGTTCCTGAACTGATACGGCCTGATGATCGCCAAGATAATAGCCCTGATGCAAATCTCCAATTTATGGGAAGGTCTCCAGGAGAGAGTATGAAGGCACCCAATCTAGAAAATTGCTCAACTAAAGCTGATAATTAAGACAGGTTGAAAAAAACTTAGCTAACATTTCATTTATACTGCTATATCAGCAAGGCGACTAAAACTAAAACATATCACGAAATAGGGTGGCGGACCAATTGAACTCCTCTGTTAGACCAAATATAATCCAAGTTGAAGGACTTGTTACCTTATATTATTACTAAGATCCCCTGGCACTATATAACTGCAAAATTTGGGGTATGTAGGTTGGAAAATAAAAAAGTTGTAGTGTCTTGAAAAAAAAGTGGCGTTTTTTTGGCCCACCCTGTATATTTGCCTTTTTGCAAGTGCACGTTAGCTAAACATCCATTGACTTGATGAAAGGTCACATTTTTAGAAATACAGTACACGAAAATACTTAATGACGTCAATATACAGTATTACCTTTACTGCAGGTACATGTTGAACAGTCGCATTCTAAGTCAGCTGACTCGTCATCACTTTGGCAACCATAGGCTGCATCCTCATCAAGTGAACATCCATCACTGACTGCGCATTTACAAGAGATACTCTTTCCACTAACTGAAATAAGCTAGAGTTGATTGGACACATACATTGATCACTGACTGCGCATTTACAAGAGATACTCTTTCCACTCACTGAAATAAGCTAGAGTTTATTGGATACATACATTGATCACTGACTGCGCACTTACATGGTATACTCTTTCCACTCACTGAAATATGCTAGAGTTTATTGGATACATACATTGATCACTGACTGCGCACTTACATGGTATACTCTTTCCACTCACTGAAATAAGCTAGAGTATATTGGGGACATACATTGATCACTGACTGCGCAATTACAAGAGATACTCTTTCCACTCACTAAAATAAGCTAGAGTTTATTGGATACATACATTGATCAATGACTGCGCACTTACATGGTATACTCTTTCCACTCACTGAAATAAGCTAGAGTATATTGGAGACATACATTGATCACTGACTGCGCATTTACAAGACATACTCTTTCCACTCACTGAAATAAGCTAGAGTTTATTGGATACATACATTGATCACTGACTGCGCACTTACATGGTATACTCTTTCTACTCACTGAAATAAGCTAGAGTATATTGGAGACATACATTGATCACTGACTGTGCATTTAAAAGATATACTCTTTCCACTCACTGAAATAAGCTAGAGTTTATTGGAGACATACATTGATCACTGACTGCGCACTTACATGGTATACTCTTTCCACTCACTGAAATAAGCTAGAGTTTGTTGGAGACATACATTGATCACTGACTGCGCACTTATATGGTATACTCTTTCCACTCACTGAAATAAGCTAGAGTTTATTGGAGACATACATTGATCACTGACTGCGCACTTACATGGTTTACTCTTTCCACTCACTGAAATAAGCTAGAGTTTATTGGAGACATACATAGATCACTGACTATGCATTTACAAGATATTCTCTTTCCACTCACTGAAATAAGCTAGAGTTTATTGGAGACATACATTGATCACTGACTGCGCACTTAAATGGTATACTCTTTCCACTCACTGAAATAAGCTAGAGTTTATTGGAGACATACATTGATCACTGACTGCGCACTTATATGGTATACTCTTTCCACTCACTGAAATAAGCTAGAGTTTATTGGAGACATACATTGATCACTGACTGCGCACTTACATGGTATACTCTTTCCACTCACTGAAATAAGCTAGAGTATATTGGAGACATACATTGATCACTGACTGTGCATTTACAAGATATACTCTTTCCAGTCACTGAAATAAGCTAGAGTTTATTGGAGACATACATTGATCACTGACTGCGCACTTACATGGTATACTCTTTCCACTCACTGAAATAAGCTAGAGTTTATTGGATACATACATTGATCACTGACTGCGCATTTACATGGTATACTCTTTCCAATCACTGAATTAAGCTCAAGTTTATTGGAGACATACATTGATCACTGACTGCGCACTTACATGGTATACTCTTTCCACTCACTGAAATAAGCTAGAGTTTATTGGAGACATACATTGATCACTGAATGCGCACTTACATGGTATACTCTTTCCACTCACTGAAATAAGCTAGAGTTTATTGGATACATACATTGATCACTGACTGCGCACTTACATGGTATACTCTTTCCACTCACTGAAATAAGCTAGAGTTTATTGGATACATACATTGATCACTGACTGCGCACTTGCATGGTATACTCTTCCACTCACTGAAATAAGCTAGAGTTAATTGGAGACATACATTGATCATTGACTGCGCACTTACATGCCTGATGATATACTCTTTCTACTCACTGAAATAAACTAGAGTTTGTTTTATAACATGCAAGATATACTATTTCCACTCATTGAAATTTGCTATACATGTAAGCTAAATTTGAAAAAAAAGTCAAATTCAACTACTTGTAAATAAAGTTTTATAAAATTAGTAAATAGATTTGAAGGAGAACATAGAAGTCATTGAATTTTTGTTTGAGAAGTTAGGAGAAAATTTAGAAAATAACATTAGTCATATCAATGAAATATCGGCCAATATTGAAAGTTGAGCAAACTGAAGATTTTACGTCACATGCTTCTACTTCATGATATATGACTTATTCTTCTGTACAGTGAATTTTAATAAAACGAAGTTACATTTTGGTGACTGTTTTAACTAATTACCTTGGCAAATCCCGATTGATAGGAAGAAGAAAATTAGCGACCGCATGGTTGTGTCTCGTCCGACTTAACCTCCGACTAAATGCCGCCCTAGAAAGTGTTTTCGTAACATTTGCAAAATAACACATATTTCATCCTGCCACTGAGGTACACCGTGGTACATATATTTGGAATCTTTTGAGGAAACAGTATAACGTGAAAAAAGTAACAGCATTTTACATGTTTGTGTAACGACTCTGGCCATGCTCACAAAGGGAGCTGTAGTGTAACGACCCACATACTACACCTGAAGGGGAGTGTGCCAAACTCATTGCCCGGCGCGGGAATCGACCCAGGACACTTCGCCAACTTGCTGAGGCTCATTACATTAGTGATCATTTATTTGAAATTTAGAGGCCGTTTTACCCGATGCCTGATCAATACATCATTGCTAGAGAAATCAAAATACTTATACTTGAGCACTGTGTTATTACATGGGATATTTTTCTAGGTTGAAATGCACATGTTCATGATAAACGACTGGTGCGGTTGCGGCCGGGTTGGATTAATGAATGGTTATTTTTCTTAGATCAAATTAAATTGATTACCCTCATAAATATCATAATTTCAAGTAAGCGGTTCTGTTGTTCTCTCCCCATGCTAGTAAAATATACACCCTGATCAAAATCCAACGCATGGGAGGTATATCGAAACATATGATATATATTTTTGGATTTCTGGGGTTTTGTGGTATGAACAGCAGTGTATAACAATGCGTCATTTGATTTTGTTATTTGTTTTTAGTGGTATTTAAACGCAATTAAAACATGATATCGCACGTCGTAAAACGATATATATTAGGAAAAGGATTAGGTAAATACAATGGTTGATAATTACTCTGTCATTTTAAATGTATTTCCTTTTGAACTTTTAAAAGTATATTCAGTTTATCGTTTGTTTCTACCACAGATGTTCTCAACTGATTTCTAATTCTAATTTTCAGCTTTACATAAACAATGTCGCGGGGTTATTCTTCCTTTTGGGAATTTTTTTTAAAAAATCAGTCATATTTAGAAACTCACTCGTGTCAGTATCATCATTGAAACTAAAATTTGTCGTGGTATGTAGTAAAATCTAAATGGTGGAGAATATGTCCTACTGTTTATAAGCATGTAAAATGATGATGATTGTTGGACATAATAACAGCCTCGACAATGAAGGTCGATATTTGTATACCTAGTGATTTATATATTTCTAAAACAATTTAATTGTGTCTTGGGTTACACATTCCTGTAGATGTACAATATTGTACAATACATACACAACCAACATACGTTTGGCAACCGGAAGTCTCATTTTGGGTCACATCAAAGCGAGGCTGTGTGTGTTTGGCGAATCAAAACGCAATTAAAACATGTCTTATCGCACGTCGCAAAACGATATATATTAGGAAAAGGATTAGGTAAATACAATGGTCAATAATTACTCTGTCATTTTAATCAAAAATCAATCAATCAAAAAACTCATCAAATTGTCATTAATTTCCGAACGATTGTAATTATACACAATTAAGATTCGGGCGTTGATATGCTATCTAATAAAGACTTTCAGTTGCCAAACTTATGGAGGGGAGCATACAATTGTTTCTAAAATAATTTAGCCAACTCCAGATCGTGACTGTAAACTAGAGTATCACACAATCATCTGAACAATTTATGTTTGCAACATCTGGTATTAAATTGAAAATCTGAAGTTCAATACTTTCGTGGAAAATGCCCTCATTTCAAATATTTTTGATACTCGTTTACATATCATTTCATATCGTTTCACATATCATCCAAAAATCTGGTTATCAATTTGTAAAATAAAGCATCTCTTATTAGAATGGTCAATCGATCAAGAATGTTCGAATGTACTTAGAGAGGATGATATTTTTAAATTCAGTTCAAGTGATCCTGGTTTGTCTTTGTTATCAGCATCTACAGTCTCACTTTGATCCCGTCATATGGCCGAAACAACCTCTGCGGCCATTTATTTATACTGAAACTTCAATTGGTGTTTCTAATTTGTCCTTGTAATAAGCATCTACAGTCTCACTTTGGTCCCGTCATATGGCCGAAACAACCTCTGCGGCCATTTATTTATACTGAAACTTCAATTGGTGTTTCTAATTTGTCCTTGTAATAAGCATCTACAGTCTCACTTTGGTCCCGTCATATGGCCGAAACAACCTCTGCGGCCATTATTCATACTGAAACTTCAGTTAGTGTTTCTAGTTTGTCTTTGCAATAAGCATCTACAGTCTCACTTTGGTCCCGTCATATGGCCGAAACAACCCCTGCGGCCATTTATTCATACTGAAACTTCAATTGGTGTTTACAATTTGTCTTTGTAATAAGCATCTACAGTCTCACTTTGGTCCCGTCATATGGCCGAAACAACCTCTGCGGCCATTATTAATACTGAAACTTCAGTTGGTGTTTACAATTTGTCCTTGTAATAAGCATCTACAGTCTCACTTTGGTCCCGTCATATGGCCGAAACAACCCCTGTGGCCATTTTTCATACTGAAACTTCAGTTAGTGTTTCTAATTTGTCTTTGTGATAAGCATCTACAGTCTCACTTTGGTCCCGTCATATGGCCGAAACAACCTATGCGGCCATTATTCATACTGAAACGTCAGTTAGTGTTTCTAATTTGTCTTTGTAATAAGCATCTACAGTCTCACTTTGGTCCCGCCATATGGCCGAAACAACCTCTGCGGCCATTATTCATACTGAAACTTCAGTTAGTGTTTCTAGTTTGACTTTGTAATAAGCATCTACAGTCATCACTCTATAGTCACATGGCTCTAGCTACCATGCTCTCTGTAATTCGTTATTCATACTGAAACTTTAGTCCGAATGATTCTAGTTCGTCTTTGTAATAAACATCTACAGCTTCACTCTGGGCTAGTCATATGGCTGAAACTACTATGCTCTTTGTAACTGTTTATTCATACTGAAACTTTAGTCCTAGTGATTCTAGTTTGTCTTTGAAATAAGCATCAACAGCCTCACTTTGAGCTACAGTCATATGGTTCTTCCAGTCATCTATGGTACCTGAAAAGGAACAAAGACATCTGTATAGCTTAAGCTCAGTGGTTACTATAACTTAAGTTGATACCATTTGACAAAAAAATTTCTTCTCATTGTATTTTCTATATAAGGGAATTCAGTTGGATTCAGTTTTCAGCAAAATTTGAAAATAACGGATAGGTTTCGATATGGTGAACTGAATTCAACAATGTTTTTCTCTTAAACCAATTATTGAAAACATTCTGTAAAAAACAAGGTATTTAATGTTGACTAATTGACAACCAAAATTTCCTTTGTACAATTACAATATTGAGAGACCTAAACATGTGTTTATATCGTTTTGTTCCAATAAGGTTCGGAAAGATGTTCCATATCACTCTGGAAACATGATACCAAGAACAAAACAAGTGTTTAATGTGTTTTCTAAAACAATATAGATGAAAGTATATATATATTTTTCATATTATATTGTTACCATTCAAAAGATGACCATTAAATTGACGATGTGTAAAATTTTCAGAATGTTTTGATGTCTGGTTTAAGAGAAACGTGTGTTCAAAAAGTTCACCATATCGATACCTATCCTTTGATGACATTTTGTTGTTTTTCTCACCTTTCCTCATATGTGGGGAATTTGATGAATCCTTTATATCACAAGTCTTTACTGCAGTTTTAAAAACATCTCCAGTGGCCGGATTTTCTTTCATCTCTTTAAACTGGAGGTGGTGAACTATTTTAGCAAGCTCATCGTCTGTAAACTCTTTTCCCAGAAACTTTGCAACTGATTTTACAACACTAATTAAGTCCTACAATAACAAGTTGTGTTTATTGCCAAATACTAGATTTTCATTCATTTTATGTTCTATTTGAGTTGAATTGCACATCATATAATTATCATACAAGCAATCTTATTTTTGATTTATTGTTGCAATTTTACAATTTTTGAACGTTCATTAATATACGAACAACGGTACAAAAACGGCCCCTCGTGAGTGTTAATTAATTAACCATACATGTACCTTGATCATGTTTTCATAGAAAATTATTAAAAGTTTGTCTTTCAGCTGATCTTTAACCTTCAACCAAGATTCAACCTGCTGAAACCATGTACCACATTGCACTAAAAAAGACAAGGCATTTACATGAGAAAATGTCACCACCAAGTTGCTCAAAATATTATTTATTCAATCATAAGTCAGATTTGAATTACTGAGATCTTGTAGATGATTTTGAAAAAATGGTGAAATATGAAGCAATTTAAAAAGAACTTTTTTGACCCTGAGAAGGTCATTGAAGGTGAAATCTAAAGTCAGATTTGAACTTGTGAGAACTTGTAGTTGATTTAAAAATTGGTCATTTTGAAGAAAGTTGGAAATATACCTTTTTGACCTTGAGAAGGTCATTGGAAGTCAAATATTTTTTGACCTTGAGAATGTCAATGAAGGTCAAATCTATAGTCAGAGTTGAAGTTCTGAGAACTTGTAGATGATTTTGAAAAAAAAGGAAATTGGTCAATTTGAAGTAAGTTGAAAAAGACCTTTTTGACCTTTTTTACCTTGAGAAGATTCTTGAAGGTCAAATCTCAAATCTAAAGTCAGATTTGGACTTTTGATAACTTGTAGATGATTTTTAAAAAATGGGTCAATTTGAAGCAAGTTGAAAAAAGACCTTTTTGACCTTTTTTTGACCTTGAAAAGGTACCTTGTCTAGGTTTTTTAGACTTCATAACATGTATATTGAAGAAAGAGTGTGTCTGTGAGTATGTCCATGCTTCAAGGTTACCAAAGAGATTTTCCCGCTTAAATTCTAGTATCTGATATTTGACGAAGCAATGATACAGGCTATGGTCACAGATTATTGTATCATAACTATACGAGTGTACGTACATAACTGTAGCTGATCATATTATGTTTTTGTAATTAACATTGGGAAATTCCAGGCTAAAGGGCCAAATCTCATCTATCACTGAAATCAGTAAAAAAGTTCAAAACCTGTAAAAATTGACCCCTGCCAATGAACGCTAAAATTTGACCCAAAGCTTACTTTTTTCTCCATCGTCTCTCATCTGCGAGTTCATCATCATATCAACTGTAATTGGCTCAGTAAAGGACGTTCCAAAAGCATTGAACATGAAAGCGTTGCTGACTATTATAGACTTCGGGTTTCGTAACACAAGAACTGTCTAAAAAGAGGAACACTACAGTATTACAAAAGAATCTATAGTACAAGGGCCGATCGAAAAGTTTCTTACCGTTGACTCTAGATTTTATGATAAGAGAGTTTGGATGCTCAAACATTTACATGAGACTTTTTTACCTGTCAATCTGTAAGCTCGTTGAAAACTAAATCTGATTGAAACTAATGTTTTCTAAGTCTCATTTGAACAGTGAGACTTTTGATGAGACCTTTGATGAGTGGATTAAACAAGTGGATCGATAGGAAACCATCATAATGCATCTGCATACCTTGCATTTACCCTGGAGAACCCCATCAGGCATGAATGAGGTTTGTTGGTGAGTTACCAGTAGTCTTGGAGACTCCATCTTCTCTACTTCATCATAACAGCTACCATCTGCCTCATCTTCGAGTATATTAGTCTCCCCTCTCCATGCTGAAGTTTGAACATAACATTTATTTAACAGTTTTTGAGATTATATTATTACTGAATAAGCTATTATATAATGTTGTTGTTTTTTATTGCAATAGTTTAAGAAATGTATGCTATGATATAATTTTGTAATCCAAATCATATGGATTAATTTCATTGTATTGTTAAGAATTGTGAATTAAGCTTTTAGTAATAGACATTACTTTTGTTTGATATTTCTAGGTAATGAAATCTTTGATGAATATGTGTTTTGATGGCATCTGTATCGCCATTGTGTCTCACCAAGTCCACCAGTTCAGCTGTCCAATGAGTTCCTAAAACAAGATATATTATATGACTACAAGAATGTGAACATCAAATCAATCAATCTTTGGCACTGTAACAAATGGCAGGCTGTGACATTTTGCATTATTGATGCCTTGTTTCAAAATGGCCGTCATTACAAAAATGGTGGAATTTTTTGTAAAACGTTTCTCATTTCAAGTTTTTATTCATACCATATAAAATCAGAAATAGCTGTCTAATGACAGGGATTTCCATTAACTTTGAAACCTGTCTTAATTGCTATAGATTTATATACAAATCAAAGGAATTGAGGAGTAGATTGTAGTAGTATTGAATCATTTTGTGTCATTGGTGCCTTGGAAAGTCCAAAATGAACATCCAAAGGTATTTGCTGAAATCTTACGATATCATGATTAATATCTAATTTTCAATATTTAAAACTAAATTGCAAATATGATATTTTGACATCATAAGTTTTTCTATAGTTGGTATGAATTGCAGTGTGATAATTATGAGTATTTTAGCCGGAATATACTTTTTTAATTTTACCGAAAACCTTACCTAGTCACCCAAGCCCCCCCCCCCCCCTTTGATTCTGCCAGTGGCCATTGTACTCGCAAAACAAAAAGTTATGTATGCTCATGCTCTGACTGTACTTGCTAGAATAACTTGAAATCAGAAACCTAACTCTATTTATAACAACGTTGCATTCATGAGATATGTGAAGAGTATAGGACTAGGTCAAGTTGATTTCTTTAGGTATTTCTAATTAGCCTGGATCAAAGTGGTGTGTTTAACACAGTATGATCTATTATTAATTATCACTTTACTATTGTTTAAGAATTAGGTCATGCAGGACAGTTTTTGCCCACCCTGTGGTTAGAACGAATTACATTATGATGATTAGAGCATTTACTTTGCAAAATTTTTCGATAAATGCATTCGTACCTGATCTTGTATATGATGCTATCAGTATGTCATCCTCTCGTATAGGCAGTTTATTCAATTTTTTGAGAGTTGGCCAATCATAAAATGCTGAGAAAAAACATCCATTTATCATCTCATGTTTTCTCACATTGATGACATCAGTGAAGGTTTTCTTTGTATCTGTCATTGTGTATTTCGGAGTCTCAAAGATGTCTAAGTGTTTACTCAATGTATTCTGACAGCACGTGCTAGAAGGCTAGACTTTAACTTTAAAACCTTGCTGAATAATATATGTTGATTCCGTCCGCTGTATAGTTAAGTATGATGTTGATTTGTGTAAGTTCTAATACTCACGTTGGTTCATAGTGGTGTGTTAAAACAGTATTTCCTTTTACTCAAGCATCAAGTCAAGTGTTTAACATGTTTCAGTAGAACCTTTTGTTCAGTCCTAAAGAAATTATTTGGAATATATAGTATTTTCATGTCTTTAAAGGCCCCGTGTAAAGTTTTAACCACTTGGCTTATGTTTTAGTCTTACAGAAGGAAACTATTTTTGGGCAACATGAGTGATTAATAATGGTAATGGTACAAATGCGTGAAGAGATTTTATCTGTGCGTACACTTTTCACCAAAAGTATGAAATGGGCTCAGCTATCACTTACTAGAAGTGTATTGTCAAGGACATAGCGGATGTGCGTGATGAAAACATCGACCTTAATGTGTGAATTTGTGTTTGCATCTTTTAGGACTAACTTTGGGGCTAAGTCATTTATACAGGTTGTCCGAGAACCCAGAGTTTGTGGCGATGTAGAAATCTAATGTCAATAAATTCAGAAATATAAAAGATATGTGCCTGACATTTACATCAGCTACTCCTCGATGGATGTTTAATAGGTTTACCAAAGAGGAAAAATTACCCATGCCTTTTATCTCCCTCGACAAATTCTCATTAGTTCTTGAACATCCTGTATGTTACTAAAATGTTCAGCTATACTTAAAGGTGAGATAGAAAGAAATCACAAATTTACTTGAGGTCATGTGGTTTCTTGTTTTTATTAACATTAATGAAAGAAAATGTAAGAGAGTTCTTACTGCAATATCGAGTTTGTGTTTATACCAATATTTCAAAGTCCAAATGTCTAATCACAAAAAAATATTTCATCTCTTTGTCAAAATCACCGCCCTGAATTTAACTTCTATGTTCTTCATCAGCAACAGCATGAAAAGCATCGTTTACAGATGTGTCGACTTTGAATTCATCAAGTAATTTTGCGAATTGATCTTCGAATTTATGCTCGATTTTCCAGCAGTACTTTTCCTTGACCACTGGGATAGAACTCCCCTGCCAGTCAAGCGTCCCAGTCTCATTATCTCCGTCATTTGGCTTGAACACAGCATTCACTCCAATAGAGCCTAAAATACAAATTAAAACGCATCTATGTAAATTCAGAATATGTATGAACAGCAGCCATATATGTTTGCATTATGAACTTACTCATTTTATAATGAGCGGTCGTGCATCATGATTCGTTCATGTCACATGTACACTAGCAAGTTTGTGACAAATAAAACCATAAGTGTTGAAATACTTTAAAGGGTTCCGATAAGCATCCCGTATAAAAACAATATGGCGGCTCCAGGCGAATCGACTGGATCAGTCCATTTTTAAGAAATAAGGGGAGTTCTGTAAAATCCAGTTTATTGAAATTGTCTTTGAGATAAAGTAATCCGTTTATAATGATTTTGAAAACATTATCCATAGAGTGAGTGCGTTCAAAGAATATGTACAACAGCCAATATAAATCCTTGTATTAGAACTGCTTTGTTTCATTTGTAGGATATTTCATAAACCAAGCTGTGTGCTATTACGTTATGGGGAAAATATTTTTTAGAATTTTTCCTTATTATACACAAATAGAAGATCCTGAAACTTCACCCATAAATGTGGAATTGATTTGTCAAAATAAAAATCACCGTTTCATAAATATGTGACGATCTATAATATACTTATGCTATATACTGATATAACAGTTAGAGGTGTTGACACAACGACCTCTAACCTGTGAACCCTTGAGTATTATTCCGGGATCGGGCCTTTTATACTAAACGGTGAGCAACACCAGAAACGAGCGTTCGATTTGCTAAACGATATGCGTCACCCTTTAAGCATCGTTGTCCTACCCATTATTCCAGTAGCAGAGTTCGATAAACCAGACAGATCAGTTATATCAAAACTAATAAACTTCTCGGATCTCCATACATCAATAAATTTCCCATCACCAAGTACCACCTTTAAAGTTGTATCACTGTCGAATACAACCATTTCATGGCCATTGTCAAATTTCAGTTCACCGTATTTCCATAGTTGTTTCGTCACCTTTCCATTATCATCAACACGGACAATATAAGGATCAATTCTTATTACCACGCGTCCTTTGGTTATTCGAATACTTCCAACATATTTTGCGAGTTCTCCATCATGTGCGATGACACTTATCAATGTGGAACGAACATCTGAAGTACATAAACAAGTCCCATAAAATCGAATATCGAATATATGCTCCGAGGAAGCTACGTTTATGTAAGCAATAAGCCTGCAAATAGGGGATAGAACAACTTGAAAATTAATAAAAAACACATAAACACTATAAGTTCAATTTCACCAAGAACAAAGAGAACATATCAAAAATGGGTAATTATACGTATCGTACCAAAATCCTTGTCATGAAGGTACAAATATGTTGAATCAGGAGAACCATAGATGTTGTAGCAGAACCTACGATCAGTTCCTCGGATCGTCTGTTTAATATGAGGATCTCCACAAACCATGATCTCATCGTCGTTTTCATTACATTTTGGTTTGGGGTGTTTGCAGTCTCCTTCATTTCTACATTCATGGCACTTGCAGTCAGATTTGCAGTATATGCGTTCAGGAAAGTTTGCGTCAGATGGACAATGGCTATCTGTTAGGCACTTGACTCCTGTCTTTTTCCTTTCTACACGAATATCAATAATAGAGGCAGACATATTCAATTAGACATACTATAAATGCAACATGAAGTAAAGGAAGTAAAGGGTATTGGAGGTAAAATGAATAGACAAACGACGCACAATAGTATAAGTAATTCAGGGTACCTGCGTCAATTTTCCATAGTACTTGATTTAATTCGAATTCCAATTTTCGCAATTCATCAATCTTGTCCTGTACAATCTTTAAACTCTCCATTGGCCAATTTGTTTTTCTATTACGAAAATTCTTTGCTTCCTGAAGTATTACAAGAGCCGCTTCGACCTCCTGTTGTGCATCGCTATATTTATTTCTTAAATCGGTACATTCTCCAATGATCAAAACCCTCAACCAATCAAAGAAAGCATCCATATATTTCTCAAAACGTGTCATCAGTTTTGTTATACCATTAATTAGTTCTGCTAATGCCTCGGCAAGTTCCTTACTGTCGCCTATAGCTGCTTTGATATTTTCTTCTTCAGATTCACTTATCGGCAGCTTTGTCTCAATAGAGCGTTGATATAGATATTCCTCAGTACCTACAAAGTTGGATTTATAGTAAGAAGGAACGAACGAACGAGCGAGCGAGCAAGCGAAATCACGGACCGACCGAGCCATCCATCCAGCCAGCAAATAACTAACTAGGAACCAAAATAAACTAAATAACCAAACTAGCTAAACTTAGCCAAACTATCTAAACGAGAGCAAATTAAACTAAACGAGAACAAACTAAACTAAACTAGACCAAACTTAATTAAACTAGACCAAACTTAAGTAAACTAAACGATACTGCATTGGACAAATTAAACAAAACTAAACTTTTGAACAAACTAAACTAAACTATTGGACAAACAACACCATTCAGTATGAACTTGTACAAATAGACTGGACACTATAGAAAACCTAATTTCGACCTATTTAATTGAAGACTATAGATTTTAAACCACTTTGGTATATAGTCGTACCTAATGTCATCAAAATATATTATTTGAAACTTTTCGATTAACTTTCAAAAAGTTGAAAGAATTTTGGTTCAAAATATTGTAAATTTATTTCAAATAATTGTAATAATGAAATTAGGTAAGGCTCAATGCCAAAGTTTTTCTTTACATTTAAATATGTTTAGGGTAGCGAAGTCCTTCATTTTACTTATAATTTCACATTTGCGCGCATTTCACTCCTTTTTAGAGGCGAGCTAAGCGACAAATGTTTTCATGAACTAAAAGTGATACTGATCAAGAAAAATAATGTTGGCGTTGCTATGGTAACCGAGTAAATATGCCACGCCCACTTTTAGATGCTCTTTTCGGTGTTTGGCCTCTATTTCCGTCATTATTGCTCCGTTTTCTGATGGAATTTACACAAAATGGAAGGTAATAGATAATGCAATCAAGAGATATTAAGTTTGAAATTCTGAATCCGTTACGGCGTTGCTATGGTAACAAAGTAAATATGCCACACCCACTTTTAGGAGCTCTTTTCAACGTTTGGTACCTATCTTCGTCAATATTGGTCAGATTTAGATGAAATTTGCACCAAATGAAAGGTACTGGAAAGAGCGTTCAAACAGTTTATAAAATATGCAATTAAGGCGATTTGCATATTAATAATGACGTCATAACCGTTTGTTCTTTCATATTTTATTCATATCATAATGTATAAATCTGGTAAATTATTGTCTTTGAAATGGTCAGTAATGCTTTTAAGTAGTTAATTAGTTTATTTCTTTTAGTTGAGTTTATAAGTTTAATTCATTCCTACATGTATGGTCATAAAAAATTGAAAAATGTAATGAATATATCCAATTCAAGCTGTTGCTATGGTAACAGTACGTTGCAAAACTATCTCCTGTAAAAATAATTATTTAGGAAATGTTACATTTTGACCAGTTGACTGGCATATATTCCTTCTAAAATTTGATGGCAGAACGATAGAAAATGATCTAATTTGGATCATGTTATATTATGATGTCATAATGGCAATTATTAATCAGGGTAGCAGCCAGCTTTCAATCAGGGGGGGGGTGCGATCTCGGCATAAAATTGTTCAATTTGTCTTAAATTTTACAAAAATTGATGCAACTTCCTTCAAAATTGAGCTAGAAGCTTCAAGTCAAAAGCATTTTAAAGCTCTTCTTCTATCTAATGGTTCTATTTTGATTGGGGGGGGGGCCCAATTACACCCCTTGGCTATGCCTATGTTAGCTATGGTATTCAGGTGAACATGCCGTCTAGATTTGTTTTTTTGTCACCAAAGCAACAGTGTGACACGTTCGTTATATTTATTCATTGACATATTTGACATTTTGAAGCAATTTTGGTGTTTTGGGGGCGAGGCCACTGTGCCAAGTACCCCGAATTCCATTCTCCCGTGCCATTCAATTGTTTTCGGGGCAGTTTTGAATGAACCTTTGTTTCTTCCTACCATTATGACGCCATAAAATGCAATCGAACGCCTTGGCATGGATATCACTTGAAAGATAGTGGAAATTGCTTTCTAATGATACCCCATATGGCCATGTTCACTTCAGTTGGTGTACTCAATCTGTGATGCAATCTGTAAGGTGTACCCCTACCCCAAAGAAATTTCAAGAAATCTCAAAATCAAATTTCCTGAATTTTGCTAAAAGGACCTGTGTCTTTAAGGATTGAATCTCCCTCCGTGCATTTTCTCAAATATAGGATTGTTATATACCATTGTGATCGGGATAATGCCTACAATGCTAATATAACCATGTTGGAAGAAAACAAACTAATTCAGTTTACTATTAGGATATAGTCCTGAGTAAGGATTTGGTTTTCTGAATAAAAAGTCACTTTCTCCTGGGAAGTGAATCGGGACTAAATATATACAAGGTATATCCTAATTTATCTGAAAACATGTCAGAGTTCAGTGGGAAATCTCATTTTAAGCTGGCGGCGGAATGATTTTGACCTTGGTGATTTTACCAGAATTCTCTGAGAAATCTGACGATAGAGGGGGTTATTGTCTTCAAGTTTATTTATTTCAAAAATTCGGTGGACAACCCATGGTAAGATGGTTATAGCAGGCTAGGCGAGTCTCTCCCGAACACTGTGGTATGTTGCACTAGTCTTGGATACTAATCGTTAATAAGATACAGGGTAAAATGTTATAATGGCCACCTATGGGAAACTCTACTGTAGTCTTCAACCTACCACGGAGTATATACCACGGTAGAAAGTCCCGGATGTTATGTTTTTGTAATGACGTCACAACAATATTGTAGAAAATACTTGGATACGCACGGCAACAAAACTTCATTGTTATGACGTCACGGCTTATATTTGAAGTAAATGTGGAGGACGGAAGGATTTCCAAATGTGTACATTTTTCTCAAAAACGTCACAGTCTGTCACGTTAAAAAGCGAAAACGCGCGAACTATTTGCGACGTGTCAGTACAAAGTCTTTGGACTTTAGCATGAACAAAAGGTATGCTTCCTTGAAAAATTTAATTCCAAATTTAAATGTCACAAAATGTTCAAATAATTAGAATTTCAGAAAATTTCTAAACACAGGCTTGCTACACTGTACAAGCAGAATGCCTGAATTCATTCAACCATATTCTTATATCACCTCAGTATAACCATACTAGAATCTAACCACTCTTTTAAAGCACATTTATCCAAGCTATCAATTGCAAATCATAGGCTGAAATTTGCTGGAAATGTTACGTGTACGTTTTAATTGCGATGTAACTAAGGCAGACAGCACCTTTAATTATTTTTAATGAAATAAAGGAAACATTTTTTTAGAAATGATCAACCTTGCAGAAATCGAAATCATGTCGGCAATTTTTATTTGATTGTGCCTATATGTTATTCAAACTCAATTCAGCATATGTGAACCATGTCTGTTCGTTTGAGAATATTCTGTATTATCATGCAAATACACCTTATATTCACACATTTGTTCAATTTAACATGTATGTGGTATGCCCATCATGGGATACCAAGTGTTACCTTTGCTGCAGGTACATGTTGAACAGTCACATTCTAAGGCAGCTGACTCGTCATCACTTTGGCAACCATAGGCAGGATCCGCATCAAGTGAACATCCATCACTGACTGCGCACTTACATAATAGACTCTTTCCACTCACTGAAATAATGTGCTCGTACATAGTATACTCTTTCCAGTAAGCTATACAAAAAATACAAACTACAACTTAACTACATATTACAAAACTACTTTACATCAATTTCACATGTTTCAGGGTATGATAACAGGATGTATCCATGATACATGTGTTTTTTAAAAATGTTTACATAATATTTTCAGATTTCAGATATTTTCTGTTTCAGATCATCAGATTTTAATGTTTCAAACAAAAGTTCTCTGTGAAGTGAAGCATAACTTTAAAATCATTTAAGAAAGAGCTTATATTTCATCGCCAAAAATTGAGAAATCACATCATGGGGACAATATTATATGTCAACTAATTTGCATAATCTAAGCTTTAAACAGTCATGAAAATCATTATATGGCAAAGTGGTTCTATGCTGAAACTGACTTCAAATGAAGTTAGGACTTTGATAATATATCCTTTCTTAATACTAGTAACTTACAATGTTTCAGAATAATTCTTAAAAGGTAACCTTAAACATGTAAACTTTATTGAACCATATTCATAGTCACTGTCAGGACTGATGTGATATTCTAGGTTGTAGATACCTGACGCATTGAAAATGTCGTCATATATGTCGTCAAAAATGATGGTTTTGGGCTATATGTTTTTTGTTTGTTTTTTGAACTGGTATCCCGGACTGGTATGCACTTAGAGTTTGCGTTTTCTTGCTAAGTTCCATGACAACTTTTAGTCCTTTCCCTTTGGCACAAGTGCTTATATACTTGGGTAAATCCATTAATTCCTGTCCACACTCACTTTCCTTTGAGCCACATTAACATGCAGGAAAACATTCTGTACCTGCAGTGTACTGTTTGCATGTGCAAAATGACATTGGGATTTTTGTTATATCAGGCTTCGGTTTTTTGGTCATTTAATGGTCTCAAGAGTACCATGAACCACTTGACATCCAAATCCATTCCCTGGCTCTGGAATCTCAAAAAGTGGGTTGTCAGCATTCGTTGAAATGTATTATTGATATAAACCTCTGCATTCATGGTGCAAAAATGCATCCACAGTTAGTGGTGATGTTCTAATATCATTTTGGATGCTGCAAACAAGTGCTCTGTCTCGTAATACATCCAATTATAGTTTACTTTTATATTGAAATATAAACATATAACAAAAATAACGCAACTCCGCTAGACCAGAGATAGTGCCCATGTGGACAGTCAATAGAGACAGAAACTAACTTTTTAGTAGAATGTCATGTGTTTGAAAATGAAAGATTTAGTCTGTTTACCCAAATGACTGATATCTATAGTGACTTTAACATGTATAAAAGTCTCGCAGAATCTTGTATAATAACGAATGAAAAACTGTTCAAAGGACACTTGGAATATATCAGATGGAAGACATTAGCCAAAAGGCGTGAAATAGTTACATGCAATGGTCTCTCATGAGTAACCATCTGCCAGCCATTGTTTTAACTTATGTATATATCTTAATGTAACATTTTTAGTGTGCGAGACTTTAATAAATAAATTTACTACCACTACTAGTGTAATATTGTCCCCATGTAATATTCTTTTCATTCTTGTAATACATGTATAAGCTCTTTCTTATACGATTTCAAAGTTAGGAATCAAAGTTTATTATTTTCTTTAACCTCCCCCCATCCCTAAAATATTAGGGTAGGGTGTAATATTCTTTTCACACTCATATAAAGTACACCTTTTATATTGTGCATACCCGTTGTAAATGTATTTCTAGGAATTATTTCACGTTATAACTTCATAGAAGAAGTCAATTAAAGTAAATTTCGTATTTTATGACTTTGTCCTTTAACGGTTTTTATGACTGTATAAGGGTTTAATAATGCAAATTAGCTTATTTTCATATGAACATATTTTTTCTGAATTACTGATGTTATTACATAAACTTTGGTGAAAAAATTAAGTTTGTACCTCATATACTTCCAAAGTTATGAATTAACGTCCATTTGCATTTGACCCCTCCTCAAATATCTGGGTAGGGAGAGGAATTTTTTCACAGTCATTATGTAAGATACACTTTTAATATTTTGCACATCTGTTATACATATATAGATGTCATGAGAGGTCAATTAAAGTAAATGCTGTATTTTATCACTTCGTCATTTAACGGTTTTTATGACTATATAAGAGTTAAATTATGCAAATTAGCTTATTTGCATATCAACATTTTTTGAATTCATGATGTTATAACATTAATTTTGGTGAAAAAAAAAAGTTTGTACCTCATATACTTCCAAAGTTATGAATTAAAGTCCATTTTCATTTGACCCCCTCCCCTAAAATATCTGGGTTGGAGGAGAATTTTTTTCACAGTCTTTATGTAAGATACACTTCTAATATTTTGCACATCTATTATACATATATAGATGCATTTTTAGGAATTATTTCATAAGTTATAACTTCATATTAAGACAATTACAGTAAATATCGTATATCATCATTTCGTTATCTAATAGTTTTTATGGCAGTTTAAGGGTTAAATCATCCAAATTAGCTTTTTCTCATTCAAAATATTCTTTTCTTCATTACTGATGTTATTTCATAAATCTTTGCAAGTTTCAAACTCTAGATATCACCCCACATCATAAAAGTAACTTATTTTCCAACAGGAAAATGAAAAAATCTCGCGTAATACTTTTTACTATCCATTTTCACTTTCCTGGGGGCCGCCAGAAATGGCCGCCAGAAAACATGGCTGCCCAAAAGTTAATCAGCTCTAGGACTTGATATCCTCTATCATGTGTGCATATTTGGAGAAAATCTGATGAGCGGTTTTCCTGTAATGGCAATGACAAGATTACCGAAAAACCTTCAAAATGGCCACCAGAAAACAAGGTGGCCGCCAAAAAGCTGATCAGCTTGAACTTGATATCCTCTATGATGTGTGCAAATTAAGAGAAAATCCGATGAGCAGTTTTCCTAAAATGGTGAAGACAAGATTTATACAAGACCTTCAAAATGGCCACCAGAGAACAGGATGGCCACCCAAAAGTTAATCAGCTCTAGAACTTGTTAATCTTCAATCATGTGTGCGAATCTTGAGAAAATCCGACTAGTGGTTTTCCTAAAATGGCGATGACAAGACTTTCCGAAAAACCTGAAAAATGGCTGCCAGGAAACAAGATGGCCGCCTTAGGATTAATCAGCTCTAGAATCTGATATCCTCTCTATATGTAGCTAGTGGGCATATTGAATGTCTGTTTATGTAAATAGAGTTGACAAAAAGCTTGGTTTTTGCAAGTTTTGGAAAACCTGTTTTGAAATGAAAATGACATCGTTTAATTTATGGACGCTGGTTGACAGGCATTATAATTAATATTTACTTATGATATACCAAATTATATCCATCGGTATGAAATATGACATGTTTCCATCATGAAAATCGGTATTTATTTTTGAAATACGAGTGTCCCACTTTTTGGACCACCCTGTACTGTACTGTACTGCTGTAGTTCGCTTTTAATAAATACTCATTTATTTCTTTAAATCAGTCATATTCATAGTTAGTATTACTAATATATAAAATTTAAATACAATCTGTTTTACTACCTGTCTTTACCCCCGTTGATGCCCTAAAATTGAATTACTGTTCTCGATTGTTTAATTGTGTTTAATGAGGTTTATAACTGCCTTGAAGATTTTGGAATTGTTTTCATTTGTCAGATCCTTGTCGCCAAAAAGTAGGAAATTTGTCTTATTTTTTAATGTTTTGTATTTAGTTACATCTAAGTTTGGTTCATGTTTAACCACCGCTAACGCATTTGTTTCTCTCAGAGGGCAGGACAAGAGTTTATGTTGTGCTGTCTCTCGAGCCCCACGGTCACAATATGGATCGTTAATGAAAGAGAAATTATGGTCAAAAAGATTGGATTTAAAATATCGATTTACTCTTATCTTATTTAGTACAATTTCGTCTTTTCTATCAAGATTCTGTATGTAGGAGGTTGAAATTGTAGGTTCCATGTTATTAGTGAGATGATTGTTTAGTTGTTTTTTGAAAAGTGAGAAGCTGTTCGTTTCCTTATGGTCTCTAGGAAGACGGTTCCACCAAGTTATCATTGAGCAAACTGTTCCCGTTTCCATTTTTTACTAATTGAGGCTGGTACTTTGTAGTCGTTGGTTATTCTAAGAACTCTCGTCTGAGGTGATTTATATCGTTCAAAAATCCGCTTTACGTAAGATGGTACCAAATTGTTTTGAATCTTGAACATAACACGCAATTTATGTTCATCCCGTCTATTTTGAAGATTACCCCAATTTTCAAGGTTTTTTCGGTGCTTGCACCTTGCATTACACCAGAACAAATAACAGCTGCCCTATAATGTAGCTTGTCTAACTGGTCTAGGATGGTAGCTGGAGCAGCGTCGTAAATGATAACACAATAGTCCAGATGGGACAGGATAAAGGAAGAGTAAATTTTTTCCAAGTGTTTGGAATTTAATCTATGCTTAAGTGCCATAAGTGGAATTTACCTTCTAGATATTCAATATGGGTTTTGAAAGTTAACTTTTCATCAAGAATTAGACCGAGGTGCTTATGATGTTTAATTTGATCTATTGGAGTGTCATTGAAAACAAAGTTTGGATATGTTCTCTCAATTGGTCTATTTGTTTTAAATATCAATTCGTGACTTTTTTTGTGGTGCAAATGGTAGTCCCCATTTCTGGTGATGTGATGTGTCGTCCGCATAGATAAAACATTTTGAGTTTAAGTCGTCTGTTGTGTCATTAAGATATAACAAAAAGAAAATCGGTCCCCATATTGAGCCTTGGGGGACTCCAGAGTTGATTTGACCGACTTTACTAGACCTAGACAATTCATCATTGATCTTAATTTTAATTGTTCTGTTTGTGAGGTAAGATTGAAAAAGGTCAATTAGTGATTTTGGGATACCGTAGGATTTTAGTTTCTGAAGAAGGAGTACATGAGGGACTTTGTCGAAGGCTGATTGAATGTCCAAAAATATTGCTCTAACATCGAG